GCATTAGAGTGCACTGTACAAGTCTAAACAAGTTTCGGCCACGCGTACGCGGCAGGCAGGTCTGTACAATTACGTAATTGATCGGCTTAAAGATATCGGCCTAATTAAGACATTGGATCGAAACCGATAATCTTTAAAATAGCATTTATCGGCCGATAACGATATGGCCGCCGATATATCATGCATCCCTAATATATATATGTATGTATGTATGTATGTATGTATGTATGTATGTATGTATATATTAGAATTATTTTTTTTTTTTAGAGGGGAAGTTAAATTGTTTGCACTCCATTAATGATTTGCTCATCAGTTTTTGTTTTTTGTTTGTTCATTTATTTGTTTGTTGTTTATTGTTTTAACCCTTGTGCACTGTTCAAATTGACTACCCTTTTGTTATGTTGGTGACTGTTTTTGCCCCATTGGCTTCCATTATAAGGATTTTTTTTAATTGCAAAGCCTTGACACTAAATGATTGTGCAAGTTCGGTAGAGGTAACATTTGCAATTTTTACTGTAGCTCGTAATTTGGGACCATTAACCCTTTAGATTTTTTTATATGGAGTTCTATGGATTAAAACAACACGTTTTAGTGTGCGTATACACTGCAACTAATAAAGAAAAATGATAAATTGTACCTCTTCCCAACAGGAAAAAAAACACAAATAACCAAGGATACATAATACTATGGTGTCATGGCTGTCCAATCAAAAAATGTCAATATAATGGAAGTCAGTGGTGCAAAAACAGCCTCTAACATAATGAAAGGGTAGTAAATTTGCCCAGAGTGTATTAAATTATTGACAATTTTCAAAGCATTTTCCCAAAATATGTGTCGAAATAAGATTTGACTTTCACTGAAAGTCAATCCAGTTGCTAAAAAACAGAGAAAGTTGTGGCCAAATTAAGACTCAAAATTTCCCCAGAGTGGATTAAAACATCCCCAACAGCACACAAGGGTTACATTTTGTAAAACAAACAAACAAACAGTCATAAATTCACATCAATTTAGCTTAAGTTACAATTTGTTTAATAAAAAAAAAATCTGCTGAAACTTAATGTACTAAAATAAGTTTAAGTAACATAATAAAACATATTTTGTTATGAATTTAATCATATAATATTTGTGCTCTACTTACAAAAGTAAACCTCAGCCATAAAAACATCTTCATTTTAGGTGCTTCATGAAGTGTACCCAGTTCAGCTACACACACTGATTCATTGTGTCATTATCAATTATGAATATCACAAGCAGCACATCTAAAACGGCATCCCTTCCTTCAATATGTTGGCCCAGCTCATGTGTAGTTTCCTTGCATTTTTTAGCTGTATTGTTTACATGCATTAATGTGATGGTGTCGAGCTGCCGACAACTGTCACTAGCACAGTTACTTGGGATAAATATTTTATGCCGGATTTGGAAAAAGGGTCACGGCTTCGTACACAAACACGCATGCCCTCAAAGTCTTAGAGGAGGAGATGAATAGAGAAAGCAGGAAAATAAAAAAAGGAAAAGATGCGGATGCATGAAAACTGCATTAGGCTTCGTCAGCTGCTACAGAGAGCCAGCCAATGAAATATTCAGGAGTGGCGTAGAGATTAATTTTTTAACAGCCTTAACTCTCTGTCTTTGGGACACTCCCTGCTTTCTAAAGGGACTCTGTGTTTTCCTTTAGCCAGTAGGAGGTGCTCTCAGCAGATTTTCTGTTTCATTTTTTGGCTGATTTAGTGCATTTTAAACACCTTTAAACTGGTGTTTTCTCATGTCTATTGGCTTAAACTTATTGTTCACCCAAAAATGAAAATGCAATCATTTACTCACCGTTCACTTGTCACAAACCAGTCTGAGTTTCTTCTCTTGAACACAAAAGAAGATCGTTTTTCCAATGTTGGAAACTGGTAACTATTTACTACCATAGTATTTGTTTTGTGGATGTCAATCGTTGTCGATGGTGCTTCAAAATATCTTCTTTAGTGTTCAAATGAATAAAGCAACTGATAAAGGTTTCTGATAAAGGTCCTTTCAGTTTTACCCATCATCATCTTTTCTGGAACTACAGAGCCAAAGATTTTTTCTCATCCAATTTCATTGTGTTTATTAAATATTTTGGTACATTTTAACATACTTTTATCTCTGTTTAACACGTTTAACTTTTTTGAACTGTTGTCTTTTTAAAATCACTAAAAATACAATATGAGCCTTTATAAATCTAGATGTTTAAAATCTCATGATAAGTAGGTTTTGTCTCAGAAACTTTTTTTATAATATGTTTTTTGAAACCACTATTAAATTAAGTTTTATTGTCTTTGGTGCGACACCCCATTTTTTCTCATTCGATTAGTTTTTTGTTTACTAAATATTTTGGCCCATTTTAACATACTTTTATCTCAGTTTTACATTTGTAACTGTTTTGCTCATTCACATCAGTTGTTGTCCCATTTTAAATCACTAAAAATGCAACATGAGCCCTTTTAAAACTGGATGTTTAAAAGTCCATTATGTGCACCTTTTAAGATTTTGTCTTAATATTTTATATATTTTAAAACTTTTTTTGAAACACAATAAAATTAAGTTTTGTTATCTTTGGTTGATTTCCCTATTTCTTTTAAGACACTTTTTTATGTTTACTTAATATTTTGGCCCATTTTAACATGCGTTTATGTACATTTTACATTTGTAACTGTTTTGCACGTTCACACCAATCGTTGTTCTGTCAAAAATCACTGAAGATGCAGTATTAGCCCTTATAAATCTGGATATTCAAAATCTCATTATGTGCAGGTTTTGTCTCAGAAACTTTTTTCATATTTAACCTTTTTGCAACCACTATAAAAATTAAGTTTTGTTGTACTTTGGTGTAGATCCCCTATTTCTTGTCATCCAATTAGTTTTTTTATGTTTATATTAATTAATGTTTTTTTAAGTAAATATTTTGGCCCGTTTTAACATACTTTTATGTCAGCTTAACATTTTTTAACTGGTTTGCACATTTCCACAATGTGTTCAACAAATTTGTTGTTCCATTAAAAGCCCCTGAAAATGCATTATGAGCATTTATTAAATTGGATATTAAGAAGCCCATCATGTGCACCTTTTCAGTTTTTGACTCAGAATCTTTTAAATATTTAACTTTTTTTTTTTGGAACCACTATAAAAAATTTCAGTTTTGTTGTCTTGGTGTGGAACCACTAATTCGTCTCAGCCATTTTTTTGTTTACTAAAAAATAATAAATTACCATAATAAAAAAAATTGTTTGCAGTCAAATGCCATAAGCATTTTATTTTTCATTTTTTAAAAAAGAAAAAAATTCTGTATATTTTGTACAGAATTCAGTGTAAAATTGAAGACATTATATATAAAGATATACATGCCTACGAAATTATTTTAGTGTATGAACATGAATGCCATCTTTTATTTTTGATCTAAAAGCTGAAAACTACATGCTAAATGCTGGGAGTTTGTGTCTTGTGGGCCGACTTTTTGAGCAATGTTTTTGGACAATATTACAGGGTGTGATGTTGCTTGGCTACTTTCATAAAATTGTCAAAAAACATTTTGTACAACTGCACAAATGTAAGTTATTTTATATAAATGTATCAATAGGATGTGAGGTCTAGTTACCGAACTATTTCACGCGCATCCTTTAGCTTGGTCCCTGATTTATTAATGGTTGCCACAGCAGAATGAACCACCAAATATAAGAAGCTAGAAGCTTCCCTTCCAGTAACAATCCAGTACTGTACTCATTCACACATACACCCATACACTACGGGCAATTTAGTTTACCTATTCACCCATAGCGCATGTCTTTAAAACATGTAATGGGTACTTTTACTTAAGTAGATTTTTGAGGCCCTACTTCTTTATTTTTACTTGAGAACAAAGATATATATAACAGTTTCTGTACATCTACTTAAGTAAAGGGCGTGCATGTGCGTGTGCGTGTGTGTGTGTGTGTAATTAAACTTTATTGTCCACTTATTTAAATGCTATTCTGACTTGTGCATGTATGTCTCTTGAGCTCCTGAAAACCACAAAAAAAAAATCTTTGTGTTTGCGCATTTCACAAATAAATATTATTTTGATTCCTAACAATTAAAAATAATTTAATACTCATTTAGACCATTTAACAGATATTTTTGAATAAAAGCTGTCAACGTCTTCGCTGTGACTTTGATTGCTATGGGAAGTTGAAGTGGCTTTATGCTGACGGTCGTCCAGATTTGTGCCGTATGGTGACACTGCATGACTCGCGTGATCAGAGAAAGAGAGACAGACAGATTTGGAGAGCATGTGTTCGAGCAGTAAACGTATGTTCCGCTCTGATCTGATGGATTTAATGTTACACGACGCAAACAGATCTGACATAATATAATACTGTATATCACTGCTGAAGAGAACCTAATAATGCCAATGTTTTAATGACGCAAGTTAGTCACCTGATGTTGCATTTTCACTGTTGCACAAATGACAAAAATGAATATGATTAGTATTGACATCATTTAAATTGCAGAGATAATGCAGTTACTCTATACTCTTATAAAAACTGCAGTTTTTTGTTAGTTTTAATATATTTAAACAAAATCTCAAATTCATTACAAGAGGATAAAGATGGTGATTTGTAATGGCTACATTTATTTCATGTTTTGGCCTGTTTTATTAACCGCCAGTGGAAAAAAATGTTTGAGAAATAGAATTTTTCCAAACTGAAAAAGTAAACATTCACCTTTCCTAAAACAATAGCACATTTTGATTCGGTGTCAATCATTTCTCTAACACTAATACTGTACAACAAATTGCTCTCTAAATTGCAAATGACTGTCTAAATAAAGGAATATAGTTATCCAAAAAGATAATTCTGTTGTCGTTTACTGTTGAACACTATGAGGTATGAAGTGTTTTGGATCTGTATTTGCGTACACATTCTGATGGACTCCTTTTATGTATTTTCTGTCAGCGTCATCAATTTCCGCCCTGTCTTTGTGTCTCTCACTTTTAGAGCAGAGCTGTAATGGGCCGAATAATCCGACTGAGTGACACAGCCATTGCTCTGGAGTCTTTCAGAGGCTCAGAGAAGGAGACCAACCCCCTGTACAAAGACTATCACGGTGAGGAGAAACATTTACTAAACAAACTCTTTCATTCAGTTCAAAATATAAAAGGTTCTATTTTAACGATCTAGGCACAAAGTCTAAAGCGCATGTCGCAAAAGCATTAAGGCCATGTTCCAATTCACTTTTGCTATTTTAAAGATGGAAAAATATGGTTTGCGTCACAGTGCATGGTCTAACAGGGTTGTGCTTATTCTCTTAGTGAGTTATTTGTGTGTTTTGAGAATAACATGCATTAAACCAATCAGAGTCTCATCTCCCATTCCATTTAAGAGTCAGTTACATCGCACCATGGCGCATTTGCTCTTTACATGGCAGACTTTATAAGTGGAAAAACTGAACGCTTCACTGGCTGGTAAACAGTTAAACAAACCATCTGCAGTGCGAGGATGAAGAACGAGCCTCCTCCATTCGGCCTCTTTACTTTCTCTTTACTTTTACTCTTTACTTTACTCCTTTTACTTACTTTTTAAAACAAATATAAATATGCATATAATAAATCAGTGGTTCCCATCCATTTTTTTGCCTAAAATAAATATTGTGGGGCCCCCTCAGCATTTAATGATATTATCGCTCATATAAGTTTGCAGTAAGGATGACAAAAAAGGTTGTTTTCAAACAAACGGTATGTTTATTACTGTATCTAAAAATATTTATGCACAAATAATAGTCTAATGTAAAATATAAAAGCAAAACATAAGTAGGCCATTTGTAACTAAAAAACGTAAGTCTTTGGCCTTTAAATTGGTCCTATTTGAAATTCAATAACAAAAATATCAATATTCACACTAGTTTATAAGGGAAAAAAATAATATAGGCTTGGCGAATCTTTTTTGTGGAAGATAGATTACAAATTTGTCCATTTTTTTTTCAGCTAGGGCAGTGTTCCTCAACCTATTTATCACCACAGACTGGTCAACGCTAGACAATTTTACCGCAGACCGAGGGAGGGGGGTGGTGTTTCAGTATTTTTTAGGTTGTAGGTTGCTAGGCGACCATCAATCGTTTTCTCGGAGGATGACAAGCTGACAACATTGCTGTCACTTTGATAGTTGTTTTATTTATGTAGAAAATGACAAAGCTCTGCAGTGTTTAGGTGTTCTGTGTTTGTCTGAGATAATTATTCATACCGAAATGTGAATATTCCATATAAGCTGAAGCTGATTGGTTAATTTTGTCACTTGACTTGCAGTGTGCTCACGGGGATCATTGGCGTGAGCACATTACGATACTTGTTTTCGCAAGCCGTGCACCTCCATTGGAAACAACAAACTTGTGCAAACTCTTAAAATACGCGATATGCGAATGGCCACTAAAAGGCTGCCATCATTTGCGATCTCTATCAGCTGATATTCTTGCACAGACATGCTGGATTCACCTGATTTTTTTGACAACTGGGTTGCGAATCTATTCCTTGGCAGTTCGCTGGTCCTTCACTGGCTCTATCCCACTTAGCAAAGAAACTTTCCAAAGACATCTGTTTCTTACTTATTTTGCTGCTAGTGAGTTAAATTGGGGTGCTCAAGTGACCAAGATGTAAGCAAGAGAATCCTCTTGTTAAGTCGTGATGTATGGAAAACTGCTTCCGGGTCCAATTTGCTACTCACTTGACTTGAGAAAATATTCATTTATGGTCACTTTTTATTCATATCACACATTAAAGTGAATTTCATATAGAATCATAGTGTACACGTTGGTCTCTGGACTTCCTGTATCACAAATACCAAACTTTTAGCAGAGTTCAGCAGCTAATCAGCTGGAATCAGCTGAGGTGAGGAGACGGTGACCAGCAATACCTAGCTGTCAGTCAAGTGGCCACGCCCTTCATTTTACAGACTTAATATAACCTAATATAATGGAAACCGATTAGTTATAATAAAATTCACCCCCTCACAGTTGTCATGAAGGGTAATATTAGCTTTATGAACCAAAATCATTGTACCAGGCTGTAAACACCATTTTTTTTCTGCTGTAAAGTAGGCCATTCTTAACAGTGGGGTCAATAGAAATCTGCTCTATTATGGAGCCGGAACTAGTGTAATTTTGATGAGTTGCAGGTTCAGTTACTTCCGTATTTGCTTCACAAGGGTAAGCGGAAGGTTACTGCTTGATATATAAATAAAATGTGTTGAAAAATAATTACAATTTCACTTAACCCTTTAACTGCCTGCTCTACCAAATATACCATATTTTGACTGCTTTAAATAATGACTGTCAAAGTCAATTAAAGAATGGTTTACACGAATAGCATTGTTGGTTTGCAAACAAATCTAACAAACATAATCCTGTTGCACTTGTACACTCCATTTTGGTTTTATTGTAATAATAAAATAAACAAGAAAACATGTTAAATGAGAATCTGAAATATTAAATGAAATATTTCAATAAATAAAAATGATTTTAGCATTCAAAAATGTTTTATTTTAAATATTGTTTTTTAAATAAATTGCTTTTACACTTCATATTTTCAGATTTTTCGTATAGTATATGTATTAATTCCGGTACTTAAACAGACATATCAACCATTTGGTAAAGGTTGATATTTTATAAATTATGAGATGTGTTGAAAAAAGAATGCATTGAGTGTGTTAACTAGTGACATTGGGAGTTAAGAAATGCAACCCAAATTTTTTTTTTTTTAGTGAAACAGATAAAGGGAATAAGGGCTTATATTTTTTTCTTTAACTATGTGTGTGTGTATATATACATCTCAAACCAAAAGATTTTACACAGGCAAACACCTTTTACATTTCCTTCAAAAACATCTGTTTTCATTGGTCCCTCATCTTATTCATCCCTTTTGCATCATCCGGTCTTACTGACTCTATACACACACACACACACACACACACACACACACACACACATACACACACACAGTCAGTAAAGTGCATTAGTGTAGAGGGGCAGGCCGGGTGGACTCTCTCTGACTGTCAGCTCCTGTTAGTGTGGCCGTGTTCAATCAGACGTGCTCCTTGGCAGACAAGCCAGAGGGAGATTCAGCTGCCACGACACACACACACACACACACACACACACACACTAGCACACACACACAGAGACATGCACAGGCACACACTAGCACACAATCTCACAGCCCTCGAGGCCGCAGAGTTGCAGAATCAATATTTTCATGCTGGCTCAAACCTCACTGTGGCTGGACTGCAGAAGAGGAGGGTCTTTTGGGCTCTTTTCTTTCTGTCCTTTTATTATTATTATTATTATTTTTATTATTAATATTTTACATTTATACTTTTCATCATATGCAAGTAGTCTGAAAGGAGAGCATATGCCAACTCACTGTACAAAGACTATCATGGTGATAAGAAACGTAAAGAGTTCATGTTCACTTACCAGAAAAAGACTAATGTTGAACTATGCTTCAAACTAATACATTCACTACTTGATACCTAATTTGAGCATTATTAATTGAGCATTGACATGAACAATTAGAAATACATGTATTATAAATTTGATAACGTTAAGTTAAATAACATTAGTTTGTTAACACACTACATTAACTAATGTTAACAAGCATGAATATGGATGTTTATAATGCATTAGTAAATGATAAACTATGATTAATAAATGCTTTACAAGATTATTCATGCTTAGTTAATGTTAGTAAATAGATTAACCAATCATTATTCTAAAGTGTTAGCATTTATATATATTTTTATCTTTTTGATCCTCAAGGCAAACAATTAAACTGATTTAAAGGAAAAAACTGAATGCTAGGACTAGATTTTATTATGTAAACTAAAACTTTATCCATAAAAGCATGTGGAGAATCTAAATACACTTTAAAAAAATAGTAAAAATAGAAAAAACGCATATAAATTCTGTGTTGTAATTGTTTTTTTTTTTTTTTTTAATGTTTTGTCTTTTTTTCATGTCTGTGATTCCCCCCGTCTCAAGGTATTATCTTTTAAATAAATTGAAATTGAAATGATTGTGGTTGGCACTGTAGCCTCATAGCAAGAACGTCGCTGGTTCGAGTCCCAGCTGGGCCAGTTGGCATTTCTGTGTGTGGTTTGTAGTGTGTAGTGTGTATGTTCTCCCCTGGTTGGCGTGGGTTTCCTCTGGGTGCTCCGGTTTCCCCCACAAGTCCAAAGTCAAGCGTATAGGTGAATTGAATAAACTAAATTGGCCATAATATATGTGTTTGAATGAGTGTGTATGGATGTTTCCCAGTATTGAGTTGCAGCTGGTACGACATCCGCTGTGTAAAACATTTGCTGGATAAGTTGGCGGTTCATTCCGCTGTGGCGACCCCTGATGAATAAAAGGACTAAGCCGAAGGAAAATAAGTTAATTTAAATAATATGTATTAGAATAAACTATATTACATCATTGTTACTACTGAATTTTAATGCTGAATGAGTAGAAGTGGAGCACCATTGGGGATTTTTCTTTTTTCCTGTTGTCCTATATTCCTGCATTTTTTCACTTATTTTCAGTGTCTGGTATTGGTGATGCACGCTTTATCTTTTCATGTGTTTTGTGTGTGTCCTCCTGTAAAGGTCAGTGTGTTTACAGTTTTCTCTCCTCATTTCCGCCCCCTGTCCTGCTTTTTTCTTGCTCTCATTTTCCGAGTCTGTACAGAATGGCCAGAGGGGGTGGGGCTTACAATCACTAACCACATCACATGATTTCATCTAAGTATTTATTTATTTGTTTTACAGTATGTAGATGTGTATCAGATGTTTATGAACAAATTATGTACTAATGTTATTCCCTTTCTTTGCTTACTTTACTTACCTTACTCAGTGTGTGTGTGTGTGTGTGCGCGCGTGTACATGTGTAAATATATATATATGTTGGTTATATATCAGAATTATTCGCCCCATGTTTGTTTTTTTCCGCATTTTCTGCTTCACTGAGAGAAGATTTTAATCAACACATTTTTTAAACATAATAGTTTTGATAACTCATTTCTAATAACTGATTTATTTTATCTTTGCCATGATTTGACTAGATATTTTAAAGACACTGCT